CTGTTCTGGCTGCCTTACACTGGCTCCCTATAGAACACAGGATAGAATTTAAAATTCTTCTTCTGGCCTACAAAGCCCTTAATGGACCCGTGGTTCCATCCCATTTCAAAGTGATGTTCGACGCTCGGCGTAACCCTCGGCGCACACTCAAACCTCCAATCACAGAGCTTGAGGACTATCACGGGGTTTGTCAAGCGAAGCGGAGAGAATACTTACTTCCGGGTGTAATATTCTCTAAAGCAAATGAGCTGCTCCGACCCTCTGTCCTGACGGACTCCAACTTGTGTTTATTAATCAAACAAATAAATAAACACAAGGATAAGTATGTGTTATTGTTGAGTAAATAACAGTGTGTGGTTTAGAAAATAATAATAATAATAATAATAATAACTTGAATTTATATAGCGCCTTTCATAACCTCAAGGTCGCTTTACAAAGAAACATACAAGGGCAAGACATAAAACATAAAAAACATAAACATAAAACAGGGGGCAGAAATGGAAGTATAAGTGCGGGGGGGGGGGATTGAGTTATTTTTGGAAAGCGATGTTGAACAGATGAGTTTTAAGGGTTGATTTAATACAAAATTAGTAGGAAAAAACGATGAAACAACACAGATTTCAGTATTCTGAGCCCCTACTCTCCCCATAACTGACGGCAACAAAAGTCCTACATTATCAATTAAAATAAAGAAGTAAAAACAATAAGTTTGGCTTGATATTGAGCAAGAAAAACGTTGATAAACGATGTGAGAATGGATCTTCGGCGAGCCTTTCGCCGCGATCCCAACTCGTCTATTACCAACGTTCAGGGAGCTCAAGTCAATGGGACTCCCTGATAGTAGAAACTCGACGCTAAAGGGCCCCCTCTTGCGTTGGAAAGAGACGACAGGGACCCTGACATAACGTCAACATAGGCCGAGTTGGGAGTGAGAATGTGTTTGCTGGTTCCATAGCCTTACACTGAAAGACAGGAACAGCCTGAACAACATTGTTAAAACCTGCTCTAAGATCATAGGCGTGAAACAGAGAGACTTAAACTCCTTCTGTAACCAACAGATTCTGCGGAAAGCAGAGAGCATTCTGGCCTCTCCAGGTCCTGTTCTTTCACATGAATTTCATCTGTTGCCATCAGGGCGAAGATATGCTCTACCTGCTCTAAAGACTAATCGCTTTTCAAAATCAATCATCCCTCTGCACTCAAACTTTTAAATTCTTGAAAGGCTTTTAACTTGATTATTTATTCATGTATTATTGTGATGCTATGAACTATTTTTTGTGTAAATTGGAATGATCCACATCTGTGCTCCCGGGTGTATCTGTGTGTTTTCTTCCTGTATGTTCCTGCCTGTGTACTTGACACAAGCTGCTGCTCATAACCAATTGCCCCTTGCGGGATTAATAAAGTTGTTGATTGATTGATTGATATATATGTATGTACAGAGGTTGGAGAAGTACCAGAGTGCGAATACTCTGTTACAAGTAAAAGTCCTGCATTCAAAATATAACAAAAGTATTAGGATCAATACAAAAGTATTAGGATAAAAATATACTTAAAATATATATTATATGTTTTGATTATAATTATAGATGCATTAAAGTGTTTATCAAAGCTGGTAAAGGTGCAGCTAGTTTTAACTACTTTGTATGCTGCAGGGTGTAACTAAAGTCTGATTTAAGAGTTGATTATACTTCACATTATTAATCAAAATCTGTAAAGTAACTAAAGGTACTAATAAATATAGTGGAGTAAAAGTACACTATTTACCTCTGAATTGTAGTGGAATAGAAGTAAAAAAGTTGCATAAAATGGAAATACTCAAGTAAAGTACTAGCACCTCAAAATTGTATAGGTACAGTACTTGAGTAAATGTACTTTATTACTTCACACCTCTGTGTATGTATACATTATTTAATTAATGTATAAATAATTTCTCTGAAGAATGCTGATTGTGAATCAAGGAAATAATAAAATGCTTATCATTTTTTTAAATTTACCCATCTTAGGGCCCTTGGTGGCTTTGTGGCCCAAAGCAGTTTTTTTTTAATGTCTTAAGCCAGCTATGCAGTTGCCCAAACAGCTTAATATGTATTCATAATTACTTTTCTTGAAAATAAAACAACCTTTAGAGAACACTTTAAAGATGAAGGGAGATGTTTTGCTATACTTTACAAACTTGAATAAGTGTTTCATTTAATGAATTATCATATATAGAAATAAAGACATGGTGGCTTGTTGAAGAGGATGACGTCTTACCATGTGAGCATGTGGTTGTTGTTACAGTTGCAGTAGTGGTCGTAGTAGTGGTCTTTTTAGTGTTGGTAGGACCCTTGACATTTGTTGTGGTTGGTGCAATAGTCGTGACCACAAGGCTAATGGGGGATGATTTAACGGTGTAGCTTTTGGTAAACAAACTTCTAACTACCGATCTGCTATTAAAGGAGCGAGAACACAGATCAGGACATTCCTCAGAGGGCATGGTGGCAATGCACAGATTGACTGTGCACTGGATGTACATCTGCAACGCAAAAAAACAATTGTTGCAAGTTAGCGGTGTAGAGAGACAGACATATACAGATAACTTTAAAATGTAACTTCAACTATTAATAAGAAATTAATCACTGGTTGTCAGGAGCCTGTTGTAACAATACATTTGGTCCCTTTTTGGAAAACAACTGAAACTTCAGAAGTGTAAGTATAAACAAAATAGCGCTAACAACTTTAGCAGCTGTAGGGGTGGTGCTCTCAGTTAGCTTGCTAATATGCTCACAAAAACATAGATAACATGCTGATCATTTTAACCATGGTCTCTAATATTAGCATATTAAGGATAAACAAATAATTTAGCTGATGATGAAAATGTCATTTGTTTTCAGTTTAGCTTGTTAGTTTTTTTGTTTGTCACCAGGATTACAGAAAAGCCACTGGCCCAATGTTCATATTTCCCCAGAGGGTGTAGCAGTTGGAGAGGAAGAACCAGTTTTATTTTGGAGGTGATTTAAATCACTGGCGGGATACACGCATTCTTTTTAACTTATGGAATTGCCTTGTCTGCTGTCTCCAAGTGCCCTTCTTGTTTTTGTATGTCATAGGTCCAAAAAAAATTATTGAACAAACTGCTTTCTGTCCTGCTGATGGACCAACAAGAATGGATATTGAATTAATTGTATGGGAAACATGAATGTCTACTACATTTTTCACACTACTACTCACACTAAACCACAGATGTCAACTTTGTGGAGGCGAAAAGGAAAAGTCACGAAAGTTCATCCTTGGGGGAGTATATATGTACGTTGGTTCAAAATGTCATGGCAAATTATGTTGTTATTTTATTCTGACCCAAAGCAGTGGACCAACTGACAGTTGAGGAACATCACTAGCGTGGCAAAAATCTAAAATGAGAAGTGTAATCACGTAATTTCATTTCAGCTGTTTTTCAGATGGCTCAATAGGAGCTCAACCTTTACAACATCCTTATGAAGGTCTATATAATATGATCACCACAAATCTGTAAATTACATAACAAACATGCTGTTTCTACCTAAACTCATCTTTGAAGATTTAAAACAATTCCCAGGCTTGAAATAATGCAAAACTGTATTTTATGTTTGTGTGTGTTGGATGAGAGCACAGACCAATGTTCCTTGGGCTTCCAGTGTGCTCAAATCAAGGCGGTAAACCCTGGAATTGGTTTGAGATGTAACAATCTCTAATGTGCTGCTGGAAGATTTACACCTGGGTGAAAACAAATGAAATAACTATTAAAATAATATGCTTCAAATTCAGAAGTGATTTTTACAGCAAAAACAGAGTTAATATTTCTTCCATTCATTTCATTAAGAATCTGTCTTCTTCAATATGTTAACCTTAAACCTTAACAGGAAATAGGCAGGTTGTCACTGACCCTTGCTCCAGAATGGGGTTTGATGTTGCAAAGTCCTCTGTCTCAGACTCAGAACAACTGCTCACTAACATCTCGGCTCGACTAATGCTGCAATTGGACAGCACATGGAGGTCCAGTATGGAGATCCTGGAACCCATGTTTCTGGTAGAAGTGCTGGTGGATGAGCCGTCATCATTGGAGGTGCTGTTATCAATGGAGCTGGTGGAGGTGCTGTTGCTGTTTCTCTCTGATGGGTATTCTGCTTCTCGACGCAGACGTCCCGGCGACATACGTAGATTGCGAAACCTCGGGAGTCTTGTGAATTTTGACAGGGGTCCCTCTCCTGGAAGATGCAGTTCTATCCAAACCCTGATCTGACCGAAAACCTCCTCATCTGTTGGTGTGCCCATATCGTAGTTTGGCCCCGTAACATTCACTTTTTTAGGAATCCGGCAGGCCAGCGGGAGGATGAGGGAGGGTATACGGCTGACCATAGTGTAAGGACGCACACTTTGCAAGGTGTTTGTGTAAACCAGCTCTGAACCAGCATGCTGGAAAAAAGGAGAGGATGAGGAAAAGTCAGAATTGACACATTCATATATTTTTCAATTTAATGTGTAACTTTCATTCTCACCCAGCTCTCTTTCATATTTAACCAGACACAACAAGGTCCTTTCAGCCGGACAAAACAGACCAGGTCAATCGCTCTCATAGCTTTTCATACCACAGCTGTGATGATACACAACTGCTTTTGTCTTTTCGCCGGTCTGACACCCTTACACTTCTCAGTAGATGTCTGCACACCATTTGAAGCTCAACCTAAACTCGTTAAACGGCCAACGGTCCTTCACCGCTAACATCGCTGCCTCAACCTGTTCCATCAGAAGTATACATTCTCTACTGACCCAGAAGGCAACACAGGTTTCTGTTCAGGCTCTTGTCATCTCACACTTGATAACTAGAACTCCCTCCTGGTTGGTCTACCTGCAGATCATCCAGAAAGCAGCAGTCCGGCTGGTCTTGAACCTCCCTAAGTTTGTCCACACTACACAACTCCTCCGCTCCCTTCCCTGCCTGTCAATGGCTTCCCAAACCCGCTACAAGACATTGGTACTGGCCTATCATTCTGTGAAGGGTTCTGGTCCTTCTTGGACATGGTCAACCCATAGACTACGGCACATCGCGCTCTGCATCAGCCAATCGGCTTGCTGCTCCTTTCGCGAGTGAGACCCAGGTAGCCCTCCACAAAAACACGCCTGTTCGATATCCTGGCAGGGCCGCCCCTGGCCAACTTGTGGCCCCACGCAAAGTTCTGTGATGAGGCCCTCTGTGTCGTGAGCGTCGGCGGAGGGGGGAGCCTCGCAGCGGCGAAACTGTGGCACGCTTACACTAATTAAAGGTGCGCCACATTTTTGTGCTTCAGATGAGGCTCCCTCCGCAAGATGAGGCCCCCTCCGCGAGGTGAGGCCCCACGCAGTCTGCGTGAACTGCGTGTAGGGAGGGGCGGGCCTGTATCATGGTAAAAAATGGTGCAATGGGCTCCCAATTGATATAAAAACTGCAGGAAATCTCGCAAACTTTAAATCCATATGTTTACTTTGGCAATTAACCCAACATACGCAACCAAAACAAAAGTTGTATAGCACTTAAATGGTTTAGTCCATTTGAAACTAATGCACCATCACTTAGACCCCGTTTACATGGAGACGGTTCGTGTTGTATCTGCTACTTTTCTCTTTCGTATAGCCCGTTTGTTCACACGAGGCCGCAAAGGAACCGCGGAAACGGACCCCTCAAACGATAACGGGTCCCAAGGTGGGTAGTTCTGCGGACGGAACGCTCTGGGGGGCCTAACTGTTCCCTGTGTACGTCCTATACAATATTTTCCTGATAACGATTAAGCCATAGCCCCACCTCTCCCCACCTCTGCTGCTCACTGCTAGCATGGTCAGTAGTTACTGTCAGTAGCTACTGTCAGTAGTTACTGTCAGTAGCTACTGTCAGTAGCTACTGTCAGTAGCTACTGCTACTGCTGACCATGCTACAGATGTTAGTGCAACATCTACAGCTCCTCTACCACAACCATCAGCAACAAGTGGACATGGAGAACTACATGAGCTACATGTTGTTGCTAAATCCACCACGGAGCATAAAAAGAAGGGGAACCATGGCAAAAATAAATAAATTGAGAAAAGGAATATATTAACACATGAATGCTACAAGCATATTGCCTGTTTGAATAGAGCCATTAGAATACAATTAACGAAGAATAAATTAGCCGAGAAAATACTCAGTATGCAGATTATTTTGACAATGAAAACAACTGTTAGTTAAAGATCCGATGTACCATCAAATTGTTGCATTTTTTTACAGTAACTCAGAGATAAAATTAGTTTTATGGATGTGATGTCTTGGATAAAAGTCATTGTTTTACATGGCACTCAGTGTCCTGGAGTACAGAGCCCAAACGATAAAAGAGAAAAAATCTCCCACCTTTAATGCATAGTACCATGTCTATAAAAGAAATAAAGGTGGGTCTTGTTACCAAAGTCTCGGTGCCACAGCCAGACAGAGAGATGCGTGCGGTCAGGTGTGTGCTGTTGTAGCTGACGGGACAGGTGGGGCTGTTGAGCTGCAGTTCTTCTAGGTTGATTTCACTCAGGGAGTCGAGAGGGAGAACCAAAGTCATCTCTGTATCTTCACACGTCAACTCTGCAGGCAGACAGTGCCAGATTATTTGCTTACTTAGAAAAAAATCTGTTTTAAAAGCTTCAGTTTAATCACAGAGTTAACTGCTAAACACAACAAGTGTCAATGTTCTCTACCTGTTCCAGCAGGTAGTGTCCTCATCTCTCCTGAAAAGGTAAGGAAAGGAACATTTCAATAGCTGAGGGGTTAGGAGTGGTGTATTTTGAGCAACAGTAGGGCATTACTGGCATTCTTATGACATTGCTAAGAAGTTGAATGTCATACTTTGGTACAGCCACACGCATCTGGGCTCTGACTGAAAACTGGAAAGACAAGAAGGGCAAATCAGAGCGGGACATTCACTAAATATGCTCCATTCAAGAGAAGGACATTTTCTAGAAGTGAAAGCAGGTTTGCATTTCAATTATATATTGTATTGTACGAAATACATGTTTTGCAAAGTTGACAGCACAGAAAGAGAAAGGAAAAACATGTCAGTATCGGGGGTGGGGGGGGATTTAAACTATTTTTCTAGTATTAAAAAGACTCATACTGAGGACATGTCTTAACCTTATATATACAGTATATGGTCTTAACCTGTAAAGCCAGCAGGACACCTCATAGTTACATCCTTTCAACCAAAAATACCTGCGTTTTGTGCACTTTTTTTCATTCATTTAATCTCCCTTGAAAGCACTATATGTATACATGATATATATTATGATAATAACATTTTCCAAATTCTGCAGAAGGCCTAGGTTCTTGTTCGTCAAAACTTAAGCCAATCCCAGTCAAATGTGTTTCTAATTCCACACACACACACACACACACACACACACACACACACACACACACACACACACACACACACACACTTATTTGTTTGTTATGCTGTCAGCCTTTTAAATTATTGCGAGAAGTTTATAGTCAGTATGTGTGTGTATTAAATACTTATTAAAAATAAGTAGGACACAAGTAGTCCATTATAATACACATAACACAGTACTAATTGCCAGTGCTATAGTGCATCCAGAATACAAATATAATTCCGTTTTTCCTCTGCTCATTTTGTGCAGCAGAACAATTTACCTCTTGGTATTCACAGCAAAGCAAATGGGCAAGAGTCGGGCCAGTTTGTTTTCGGAGCGGACCCAGGCCATGTTCATGGTTGCCACAGAGCCGACCGATTTGAAACCTACCCTGAAGAGTTCAGGGGGGCCAACAACAGCTATCTCTGAAACACTGGAAATATAGAGAGTAAGCGCATATTATAAGGTTAGCGTATCATCTGAATGTGTAAACTAACTAAATACATGTAGTGGAGTAAAAATTAAATAATGGCAAGCAAAAATAAAAGATGTATAAAATGGTAATTCAAGAACATGCTCCTCAAAATCGTACAGAACTTGAGTAAATGCACTTCAACATTAACTGTCACCAGGTTATAGGTTAGTGTTGAAAATATCAGGAATTCTGTTAGCTTCAACGTCTCCCACTGGTGACAAAATGGCTTCAAAGCCTCCATCCCTGACAAATACGTGGGTGAAAAATGGTTTACAGCAGACAATTTGTTAATCATTTCTAATAAAATGAAATGTGAAATAATCAGAATGAATTCCTGTTTGAAACAAGCAAATACACACTGGATGAAATACACATTTAGCAGAGTCTAAGTATTTCATAATATACATAGAATACATATTTTTTTAAAGGACGCACCTCTCAAGCTTCGAGGTGAAATCTGTGGTGAAATTAACTTGCTGGTACGGCAGGACAAACAGTATGGAGTCTTTATTTGGGGTGTCTCCTGTTGCCACGGGTACATCACTGCAGCTGGAAGCCCACTCCTCCACTGGAAGAAAGGACAATGAGAGTTACACCTGTCCATATGTTCGCCCCATAACATTTATAGGCATCATTGTTTGACTGACAGACTCACCAGTGAGTGAGAGGTGCACAGGGACCGCGCTGAGGGGTTTGTTCTCTATGACTTCGCTTATTTTAGGGATAGCGATCCGGTCCTCTGCCATCAGGTAGATGAAATACTGGCCTGCTGCTGCTTTTCCAGTGAACTTCAACTTGCATTTCCTCTTTTAAATAAATGACATCATGAAATGTAGTATTTCCAGATTGAAGTTGTTGATTATGAAACATTCAAGTAGCAATGAAATACTATGAAAAAGTACATTTGTGAAAGACTTGTCATATGATATCTCAGTTATTCAGTGGTGAAAAGTGAGGTAATTTACTTAAGTATAGTTTTGAGATAATTAAATTGAGTATTTCTATATTATACCACCTCATACTTATACTACTTATACTATTTTTAAGGGAACCATTGTACTTCATTTGTTAGACAGCTGTAATTACCTAACTAATATAAAGTATAGCCTAATTGAGAAACCATTTTAGATTTGGTGTAATGGATTAGGCAGCCCGGCAGTAAATTCATTATTTTAAATTAGCCCCACTTTATCAGAAGACACATTAAAGGGGTTATTACACTTAAATATGTAATAATTTTAGTGCTTTCAATTGCATTTTTACTTTAAATGCAAAACTTTTTCTTGTAACTCAGGGGTTTTGCTATTTCTACTCGAATAATTTATCTGAGCACTTCTATTACTGCAGGTAAAGATGATTGTTAAACATTGCATTGTGTCAGAATGTGCACTTTTCAGCGACATGTACACAGTAAGACTCACTTTATCCAGCTCTATGAAGGAATGCTCAGTGCAGCTGACACACTCTCCCAAGTCGGCGCGGGCAAAGCGACAGCTCACCCTGTCCGTGTCCAGGTCTTTCACCGACAGAGAGAAGTGTTGGGGGCAGTTCACACGGGCCCTGAAACCAAGAGAAAATCAGCCCTTTATAACACAAACGGTAACATTTACAGCAGTTGGTCTGGTCTACTTAACGTTAACTTCAAGAAATGTCAGACAATGTAGGCAGGCACTCTCCCGTGACATTGAATTAAAGTTGAATACATTATATTGCTTTTTACCTTTAACAAAAGCCTACAAATAACCTATTAAAGCTTTACAAATCTAATTAAAAGTAAGAGCTTTCCAGCATCCGTGACTTTGTTCAATCATGTGAAACTTTCTTTCTCATATTTCTTAACTTTCTTCAGTGGTATCTGTACCTTTCCCACTTTATGCAACCTAAATCAATTCACTAAAGTATTTACATCACAGGGAAGGATAATGTCAGGTTTTCTTACAGCAAAGGCAGTTTTGAGTGTGTGTGTGTGTGTGTGTGTGTGTGTGTGTGTGTGTGTGTGTGTGTGTGTGTGTGTGTGTGTGTGTGTGTGTGTGTGTGTGTGTGTGTGTGTGTGTGTGTGTGTGTGTGTGTGTGTGTGTGTGTGTGTGTGTGTGTGTGTGTGTGTGTGCGTG